TCCAAACGCTGCAGAAAACCAACATGCTAAAGGTGATCCACTTGGCTTCATTGAAACTCCCTGGCAGCTTGCGGGATATGAAAGCCACCAAGAAGCAGATGGCAGCCAGAAAGCCCAAGTAGCCAAGGGCAATGTAGAACATGGTGACTGAGCCTTCATTGCACTGCATAACAATGTGTCCTGGTTGGGAATGCATGTCAGAATCTGGGAATGGGGGAGAGATTCCCAGCCATATCATGCAGATGCCCACCTGAACCCCAGAACAGGACAAGACAATGGAGTTGGCCAGATTTTTCCTCAGCCATTTCCTCATCCTGCTGCCTGGCTTTGTGGCCAGAAATGCTACCACCACCATGATGGTCTTGGCCAGCAAAGAAGAAACAGCAACTGAGAAAACCACACTGAAGGCAGTTTGTCGAAGAAGGCAGGTCACTTTTTGGGGGTGACCAATAAACAGAAAGGAGGCCAAGAAAGAAAGCAGGAGAGAGATCAGGAGAACGTAGGTGAGATCCCGGTTGTTGGCTTTGACTATGGCAGTTTCTTGGTATTTAATGAAGATTCTCAGAACAAAGCCAGTGGTTAGAGACAAAAAAGAGGCAGAGAGAGCCAGGATGACCCCCAAGCTTTCTTGATAGGACAAGTAGCTTATAGCTTTGGGGACACATTGATCTCGTTTCTTATTGGGATGTTGGTCATCTGGACACTTTTCACAGTGAGCTGCGTCTGAAAAACAGAAATAATTGCTGTAAATCTGTGTGGTCAGTGGCATTCATCACCTTATGATCAACTGACCACCATATGTAGCAGGGTATAGACAGAGCATTAGGGGTTTCCTTTAAGTTCCCTCCTTGTCACACTACGTGCTCGTTTCTTTAAAAATATGTTGGTTTTTGTCTTATACAAACTGCCTCACTGATCAATGCTAAGATCTGATTCCCACTCTCAGGAATGCCCATACACACCTCCAGCACAAAAGTCTGGCTTCTGAAGCATTTTGTGAGAAAAAGAGACTGCCACGTTAGTAGCAATTTGGGTCCCTGAGCACATGGCAGCCTTTGACAGACTCAAGGGACCTTGGGAGCTCAGCATGATCAGGCCTTGTATAGACTTGAATGGTGCTCCTTTGCTTCTGAACCACCTACCTTCCTGGGTGGAGACTGTTCCTTCCATACATGGAGAACAGTCATAGCAGCAAACCGGTGCTCCCTCTCTCTTGAGTTTGTTGTATCCCGGGAGACAACTTGAAGTACATCTAGAAAATGGCACCATCTAAACATATAGAAAATCCAGGATAACCTATTTTAAGGGGACTATTTCTATGAATGGAAATTAGTTCCATGCTTGATTCACAAACTGGGTTAAACCATAGTTTTTGTGGACTTCAGCTCAGCTTTTAATACTATTATACCAGAAATTCTTTACAACAAACTGATCCAGCTTACTGTGCCTGACCATACCTGTAGGTTTATAATCAGTTTTCAAACAGATAGGAAACAACACGTGAGGTTAGGCAAAGCCACATCCAGTACC